GGATGCCGAACCGCGTGAGGATGGGTGACGGAGCGAGGGGAAGAGTCGCGGAGATCCAGTTCGAAGACGAAGGGGGGGAAACAGTCGGCGTTCGTCCCGTCACGGTCCGATTCCTCGAGAGATTCACGGGACACGTGAGTCTCCTTCATACATGCGTGGCATTCGACAAGTTTTATGAAAGGTTCTTCCCAGAAAAGGCATGCACGTGGAATTTACCGCTTTTTTCTCAACGGTTCTCATCCCCAACGTTCGAGATTCGCATCGTTGAGAGGCTCTCCCGTCCGTTATAGTTTTCCATTCTCGCGTTAAAAAAGGGAGCACTACACTTTTTAATTGCAGATATTATGTCGGAGATTATGCACCCCTTGCCTCATCAGTAACAGCTACATTTCTCCCTTTCTTTGTTTTTACATGAAGGCACCTCGCCTCTACTTAATTCTAGTGGCGGCAGGGGCAACGTAACTGACATGTTCCACGCATTAACCATCCCAAGGAAGTGATTAAGTCATTCCGGAACCGGAGTCTGGCTTGGGTTGCACAACTCCCACCGGTTTCTTCAGGTGCTTTTTACTATCAGGCTCTGAGAATATACCACGCTCTGCGTCATTTTCGCTAAAATTAATTTTAAAGCCCCATATGAGGCCATCCAAAGATCGCCACCAATCGAGTGAGAAGAGTTCGAACGTTTCTTGACGCTTTTCAAACGAAAATCTTCATACCTCTATTATCATCTTCGTAGGTTGCCTCTGAATCCTCTAGACCACTATGAAATTAATTTAATAGCGTAAATCCCCCCCATGTGAATCGTCCCTACCTCCTCCTTTGCTTCTCCTTTCCCTGCTCTCTTCAGTTAGCAACTCATCCAATCCCGCCATCCACCTGGAGCCCCGTGCGCCTCGAACCGGGAAAGCATCCGCGTAGTCCACCGAAATTTGCTCTCCTTAAGACGCTCGGATCCATAATGAAACGATCGTCGCGTTTCGACTGCTTCCATGTCCCACACAACGATGCCGAAGGTCAAAACGCCTCCCCCTCCCATATATGTACTGCCGTAAACATATGATTTTGCCCCCCCAACATGAACCACGTCATACCTGCCATATGCAATCGGCTCGGAATCGCGCTCACTGTCACCCTGTCTTCTGCTCTAGCGTCACGACAAGCCCTTTTCGTGTTCATAAGATGGATATCGTTGGGCCCCACGTGCAGGACCACAGATACCGCTTCGGGTGACACCCATCACAATATTGCCTCTCTCCTGTCCCTTTTATGTCATGCTCCAGAGGATGGAGCGAAAGCAAACGACACCTGCATGCAGTAGGGCTTCTCCATTGCGGCCTCCAAACTCTTCACGTTGGAGTCTCCAAATAGGGGAAAAGATCCGGATTTTCTTAGATTCTTAACCCTTATAGTGCCGGAACCGATTAGAGTGACGCTACGAATTTCATTGAAAAAGGCCAGTGTCGAAGTGCTGACGATTAAAGGGTTAAGAAATGTTTTATTATTCCAAGCGTTCGATCGTGTCCCTTCTCGAACTTCGGACATTTTAGTGCCAGCTCTTCGACTCTGGCATTTTGAAGCGATATTTGTAGCGTCGCTGTCAGCGACTCTCGCACTATAAGGGTTAGAGTGATATGGAGTCCAATGGACCACCTTGCCAGGTTACATTCGTCTTTCATCTTGTCCGGATGAGGGTTAAGGGTTAAAAAATATATGAGGGTTTTTATGATTTATGGTACATGAGAAGATCACAATCTCAAGGAGACAATTTGCTTCTAAGAAATACGTGTTCCATTTGAAGTCAGATGTAACCTGAAGTCAGATTACTTCACTTTCTTCTCAGGAAAACATGACATATGTATCTCATCAGTTACTAACTGGCGGGTTTTATTTTCAGGAAGTAATAAGGAACGTTGATCGTGACTGATGTTAAATGAATTTCAGCAGACAAGGAACATTAGTTCAGTGTAAATAGCTGCATCAAACCCAAATTGATTAATTACACCAATTTATAAGTAGTGTGCCATGAGATGATATCCGGCTTAGCATAGTCTCCCATAATTGCCACGTATTACAATTTTTTGGAAATATTTTATTTTGTCTACAATTTTGAGGAATGACCCTTGGGCGTTGCTGAGAAAGACTCTTATTCCAGTGTATGATATTCCTACTATGATTAGGCATCGCGCCTGAGAATAAGCCTACTCATATTTAAAAGCTGAGGTTTCTATATATGTAAACATCTCTCTGTCCAGGCACTGGGCCGTTCCGCATACTCAGAATCCTCTCTCTTCAGAAAATTATTCTGGCTTCTAGTATTTCTCATCGCTTTTGGCTACATGACCTTCGGATTCGTCGATATCATCAGTGCATACATGTCCGGTCCCACAACGACCACCACCCAGGTAGATTCCCTTCCGCGCCTTTCGTCCGCTTCGTTGCCTCTGGGTCTGGTCGAAGAATGTCACCGATGGATTCCTCATTTCCCATCTAGATCGTGTCACGGGACGAACTTCCCTTCCCAGCCGTCACCGTCTGCACCCAAAAACTTCAGCCTTATCGCCTGCGTTACGATTTTTCGGGGCTCTTCAGCCCGATGCAAAAACTCCTCGAAATGGATGCGTACCTTGATTTGGTGTTTGATTTCTTATCAAGGCCAGATGACGTAAACCAACCGACTGGTGCACCTTTACCCTCTTTCCTCCAAGAAGAGAATAGCACAACAAGCGAAGACGGAGAGCAGGGGATATGCCTGCAACCCTTTGCTGCTGCAAATTGTAAGTTCACCGCTTCGTTCTTTAACTGCGAAAATACAATAGTGATATTACATGCTCAATCATTCGGCTCAATATAAAATGACCATGCTTTCACGTGATGAAAAAAGGGAACCCTCTTCCGCGAAACCATTTCGAACCTACACTGTCTCAAAAAAAGTAGACCACTTTACATGTTAGAATATTTCCAGCCTTCATGAAATCTCAAATGAATAAGAAAGTTACCTACCAAGGTGGGAAAAATCTCACCCAGTGATTGAAAACCCTTCCAAGTGCTCCACAGTAACTGAGGGATGATTCCATTTCTGATCGGTTCATTGACACTTTCAAGCTTGACATTTTCAATGCGTCATGGGCGTAGGACGTCACATGACGGGTGCAAGCCTGAAAGTGTAAAGTAATACCCTGACGGAAAAAAAGTTGATGTCTTCACATTCTTTTTAAGTTGTTAAAGTAAATGCTGACTGAGAAAATGCCGAAGAGGCAGGTTGCACTGAACTCGAACTGTGAAAATATCGGTGGATGAATTGGTCCTCAGTCAAGAAGAGGAATAGAGCTTCCATTCGTGCTGAAGGTGGACGTTTTGAGTGCCAGGTTTAGGTTTTAATGCAAGTTGACGTACATTTGGCAGTAACCTTCCATATTCATCTGGTTTGCCGTGTGCAAAGAAGCGTAAGGCTCGGAGGATTGCTGAGAGGTTTTTCTTTTTCAAATGAACTGTCAGTCTCTAATTGAAAGAAAAGCATTTAAAGAAATCATAATACCATATGATTTAATAAATTTATCTGAAAGAATTCCATCCCTGAGACAGCCTGCTGCCAGAGCTGTCATTTTGGAGCTTGCCAACATGACGCACCTGACAAGAATTAACGTGTGCACTGCTCGTTCACTGCGATTTTCGGCACCTTAACTTTGAGAAGTTCTTGCATATGAAGAACTGCACGGAATCCTATTGCATTCGGCAAGAATCTTTCGGACACATCTACAATGTCATAAGCAAAAATGCACGTGTCTTCCATGGTATCATATGAAGATATTTAAAAAAAGTGGCCTTTTTTGAGACAGTGTACGATTCTGCACTGATTCGCATCCGTTTCACAGAAGGGATTGATGTGAGA